GTTAACAACAATGAAACAATATGCCTTCTTCAGTCACCAGATAATGGCACCAATTTCTCATTTGGTGATAAGATTTACTTTTATTCACAAGTGACGTCAAACTGTATAAATTCCCTTGGAGTTCTTCTTTCTGTTACATGCAGTTTTGAGTTCATTTTTGCACAAGCTCCTCACAGCATGCGTGGATTGCTCATTAGAGTGTGGTTTAGTATAAAAGGAATATACATAATATCTGGTTGGATGATGGTTAAGCCATTTAGAGCAGCGAAGGATTATTTGGTACCAAGCTGTGAACTGTATGTGCTCATTATGAATTTCATCTTTATGCTTGTAAGCTTGATACTGTCCATTGTCTTGAGTCGAAGATATAAATTACACAAAAATGAAGATGTGTTTAATCCTCATCTTATTGCTGAGATATATTATGAAAATGAGTTTAACCAACGTGACAGACTTGTTTCCTATGGCAGCTTTTCAGCAAATTTGAACTCTCATCGTTAGAACAATACTATCTAGCATCATTTTGTTAGTTGAGTTAATTATACTGTTGATAGATCCACATACAAAGCATTATGATACATTATATCATCAATGCCATAGACTATATAGACTACATGCTTATAAGGCATTAATGTAATAGCCCTGCGTAAGATAAGTAAATTGTCTGACAGTTGCTTTGACAAACATCAGATAAAGTTCCAATTTTACTGTAAACTGCTGAAAAATAACAATAAATGTGTTTCACATTCAATATGAATGCCTTTAAATGCACAATGAAAATAGACCCTACATGTACATGTATTAATAACATTGTACAATGTATAAATTGTATAAAAATGCTTATTAATGGAAGCACAAAGTCAATTAAAAGTGCTGCAATAATGTTTATAAATATGGTGATAAATTTATTTGGTTCAAAAAATCTGGAGATCCACATTGTTGGCCTCATCTAGCTTTGTGTAGGTGAGGACTAGGTACTACTTTTTCTTTAATTCAAGTTGAAAAATTTATCTAACAATAAAGTGACCATGGAAGTGATACATCAAAGAAAGGGAGTGCAATTATTTAGAATACACAAAGAAGGAAATGTGCATTTGTACATGCACCCTTATCGCTCAAACAGGGTAATAGTCTATCACAAATGATCATAAAATTTAATTAGCAATAAGAGCCAAGAAACTAAGAAATTTATTATGTTTATATAAGCCATATGTATAATGACTATAACTGTAAGTTGTACACGTGTGACAAGATGCTTTAAACTTACTGATAGTCATTTAAATCACTTAAATTATATCATTTCATTGTGTCTTATTTAATAGAAATTATGACATACTAATTAAGGCCATGCACAACAGTTATTATTGAAATTCAGTTTCATATTTTTTTAGTCACTGATGTATACGTCATTACTCATTACACAATAACAAGTGCAATGCATCGTTGTAATATAACACTAAACGTATTGATAAAAATCAACATTGTTATTGTTTGCATGAACAACTTAATATACTGATCCTTTATAAAAAGACATTACATCTTCATGTAACATTGTCAATTTTTTTATTTTATTTTTTTCTAGCTTATAGCTTATATCTTTCTTAGGCAAGTGAAAATACCTAAACTAAGTTATAATAGACAATTAATGGTGTGAAATTTGACCATCAGATATTGCAACTTCAGTATCACAAACACTGGGCCAGTATAGTAGTTTTTCTAAAAAATGGCTCTGAAATCATCCCAAATTTTTATTACATTTTCTGATGCATATTGATGTCCTTATTCTGTGGACAAAGTTTGAGCTGATTCTGACTTTAATCTTTCAAGTTACAGCCATTTTAAGTTATTTTATCACATTGCTACCCAATTCCTTTATGTCCTCTCTCCAGCTGTCCAAACTCTGCAATATCTCTCACAAGGCATTTATTAATTATTTGTTAATCCATCGAAAATGTCAAAAGGGGAGGGGCTGGCTTAGTCCAGCAGGCTGGCTTATGACAAATCACCATAATTAATTACCTTAGTGAAAGAATGTGTTTTAATCCATAGAAGACGTATCTAGCTTTAATAGGAATAAAAATCAATTTAACAGACCACTAGCTTACTTTAATATAATTGTTTGATTTGCTCTTTCTTCCCATGCTGATACACGTGGGTAAGGCCACGCCCATTTGATACCCATAATACATATGAATTGGAAGCTGTAGCCTTAGGAAGCAAAGTTTGAATGAATCAGATATTCTCTTTACCAGACTTTAGTTGGTAAGACATTAAACTAGGAGTTGT